TCTCCAGGGGTGGGAGCCTTTCCCTGCCCACCGGGGACCAGCAGCTGCTGGCTGGAGTTCAGGACTCGGTGCTCCGAGGAGGGGCTGCTCTTCTTGGGGCTGTAGGAGCCGGAGGGGCTGAGGGACAGGCGGTGGCAGGCGAAGGGTGATGTCCACTTCAGTTTCTCCATGGGGATGTTGATGGCATCACAGAAGGCAGAATTCAGAAGGAAGGCACCGCAGGCCAGCTGCAGGGACACCTGCAAGGGATGATGGGCACAAAGGGAAGCTCTGGCACACCAACCACTTGTGGGTAGCTCAGGAAAAAGGGATACATGGAACAGCTCTCCATCTCTCTGAGCAGGTCAGTGGACATGGTTGTCAGAGACAGCAGGAGGGAGATTTGGGGGGATCCTCCTCTGCTCCCCTGCAGTGACCACACAACCCCACAAGACCCAGGGAGGAGCTGCTCACCAGGGGAAGGTAGTCCATGCTCTCATTGTCACCCTCAGAGCTGGCTTCGCTCCCTCTGCCTGCAGATTTACTCATGAAGCCTTTGGCAGCTCGGACCAGCAGCATGGTTTTATTGAGGGTCAGCCTGTGAAAGGATGAAAAGGTGTTCGTGCCCTCTGTGCTCATCTTGACACCACCCTCCCCCCCAAAACCATCCCTGCTGCCCAGACACTGGCACCACGCTCAGTCCCTCCTCTCCCCCTGCTTGTGTTCACATCAGACCCATGCAGGTGAGAGGCACCTGCTGAGGTCAGAGGAAGGTCGAGCTGGCTCATACCTGGCAGCAAAGAGCCTCTCGATGGATTTTTGGGCTTGTGCAGAGGAAGCAGACAGGCTGTGGAAAGGCCCTGGGGAGAAACACAGTGCTGGGGTTACAAGATGCTACAGGGGAACAAAAGGGAGCAGAGCCCAGGCTCTGGGACATGGGCTTGTTTGGCTGCTGAATCTTTGGCAAAACCCTTCCTCTCCCCTTGCCTCGTTTTTCCTATATGGATTATAAAATTTCCATACCTCTTAAAAATGAACCTGGGGGAGATTTATACCAAAAGCCACATCAGGTTCCATCCCTTGCACCTCGGAATGAGTCAGGCTCTGTGCTCACAAGCCCAGTTTTAGGTCCTAAATTTTTTACAAAATTCCCCAAAACTCATCAGAAGCCCAAACCACAGACTCGATGGAGCTGCACCAAGTGCCAGCAGCTCTTTCCCTACCTTCAGGGGCACGGCAGCGCTCCCAGGCAGAGGAGGACAGGGTGCTGGAGGGTGTGGGGCTGCTCTCCTCAGCATCTGCAACCAAGGAACCACATCAGCAGCCAGCCAAAACCAGCACCTTCCCTGCCATGGCACGATGGGGTTAATGAGCCTCTTCAGGGCTCTGTTAATTCAGCTCTGGCTCTGACAGTGCCAGACAAGGTCCGATCCAACTCGTCTTCATTAGTGGAGGATTTGGTGACAAGTGAGTGTCTCACATCCCCCCTGCCTCTAATTACAGCTGTTTCATCCTTCGTGTTATCCATGGTATGGCTGCCAATTAACTTCTGAGCACTGTCAGCAGCAGGACCTGTGATTTCAGGGTTTCAGGGGAAATTGAAGCTTCCTCACCATTTAAGGAGATGAGCCCCAGCCTGACACGTGTCTGGTGAGCACCGTATGCAAAGGGAAGGCAGAATTTAAAAAGACCAGAGAAAATGTCTCAAACCACTGAGATCTCTAGCAGCAGGAAGGAGATAAAACCCCAGGGAATCTTACTCATGCTGTAAAATCCATAATCTCCATTCTGGCCACACACTGACTGAGGACGTCCAGGGGAACAGGCACGCTGCCTTCTGTTTCCAGAACTCTTCTCTTTCCTCTGGTTGCTTTGCTTGGATGTTGCCCCTTGGCACGAGAGAAGAGAATGGCCAGTGTTAGAGAGGGACTGGCACAAGCATGATGGCAATGAAACCACAGAATGAGCTTGGTCAGGAACTGGAGTGACAGGACAAAGAGGAATGGCTTCAGACTGGAAGAGAGTAGGTTTAGATGGGCTATTGGAAATAAATTTTTTGATATTTGGTGGTGAGGCCCTGGCACAGGTTGGGCTGCTCCATCCCTGGAAGTGTCCAAGGCCAGGTTGGAAAGGGCTTAGAGCAGCCTGGGACAGTGGAGGTGGTGGCAGGGGGTGGAATGGGATGAGCTTTAAGGTCTCTTCCAACCCAAAACATTATGTGATTCTATGGTCACCTTTTCCCTAGCCATGGGAAGAGGTTCTTGCCACCAAGAGCTTGGCCATGGCCTTGGGGATGGGTCGGGTGCCAAATTGTGCTGTGGCTTCATGAGGTTTACCTTGAGAGAAGTTTCCCAGTGACACTTTCCCCGCCAGGACAAAGTTCCAGCCCTGTGCCAGCCCCAGGTTACCTGTGTGGGTGTACTGGACCAGGGAGGGCAGGTAGGAGCTGGTGCTCAGGTCCACGGGCACAAACACTGTGTACTTGCTGATGACATTACAGGCCTTGCTGGTGTGGACAGCGCTGAGCTGGAACCGCCGCCCAGACCCTGCCACAGGAGGGACAGCAGGGTCAGAGCCCTGACAGGGCCCTGTGGGCTCCCCTGCCCCTCACACCCAGCTCCCAGACCCACCTCTGTGCTTGGGGATCCCTGCCCAGCAGGGGCTGTATCCCTGTGTCCCTCTAAACTCTGCCTACTGCTACTCCTGCTCTTATTTCACAAGCCCAGATGCACTTCAGGGTTGACACAGCCCGGGGATGTGTGTGGCCCAGGGCAGTGATGTGTGGCTGCTGCTGGACTTGGATGCCACTTCCCAGCTCCGAGTGACTAACTCCTTAAAAATAACTGTGTTACCTCATGCATGAAGCAGAGGAATCACAGAATCATGGAACATACTGAGTCAGAAGGGACCCTCAAGGATCATCAAGTCCAACCCCTGCTCCTGAGCAGTGAGAAGGAATATGAGCTTGGGAATGATCATGTGCAGAAGCAGAAGAGCACAAGGCAGCTGAAAAGGGCTGTTATTTGGGAGCTGTGTGAGACATTCCCTAATATTTCACCACCAGCAGCTTTTGTTTTCACTCCAGAGGCTGCTGAGACTGCTGGAAAGCCTTCCCGAGGCCAGGCAGGGTCTGCCTGCATCCAGCTGTGCATTACCATGCTCGATTTCACACTCCCTCTCGGCGAGCTGCTCGAAATCCTGGATGAGTGACTTGGCTGCCAGGTGGTGGAAGGTCTCACTCCACAGGTCTGTGTCACCATCCTCCTGGCTGTCCCGCTCTCGGAACAGAGGGTGGATATCAAACGTGACTTCCCACTGCACAGGCTCGTTGTTCCTCAGCCCTTTCACCACTGCCTTGCAGAGGGTCCTGGGGGAGCGTGGGGAGCCACAGGCAGCGCCAATATCCAGGTCCTGGGGCTCCCAGTCGGAGGAGGTCTCTGTCTCAAAGGTGAGGGATGGATGCTGGGCAGACTCTGCAGAGAGGGGACAGGCAGATCATTAACCACCTCCCTGGGAGCTGAATTCCTCACTGGCACCACAAAATCATCATTAATGCTTCCCAGTTTTCACACAGTGCCACCAAACCCCTGCACAGACGGGCTCCCTGCCCACGGTCCCCGTGTCCCGGTTACCCAGATCCCCGGGGCTCCGGCTGCCCGACGAGGAGTGCAGGCTCCTGATGCCATCCAGCGCTTCCAAGCCCCTGGCTGGGGTTTCCTGCAGCCCCTCTGGCAGTGCTGGGGAGTTGGCATCGTGGCAGAAGGACACACAGCTGTGCTGGAGCAGGGCCGGGCGCCGGGCACCTGTGCCACGGATCCTGGTGGCAGAACCGTGCGGGACGGCCGGGAGGGGCTGTGAGCAGAGAGATGTAAGGGCTGGATGTGCTGCAGCCAACGGCACAGACCTGCCCTGTGCCCTCTGATCCTGCCTCAGACCTGCCCTGTGCCCTCTGATCCTGGCTCAGACCTGCCTTGTGCCCTCTGATCCTGGCTCAGACCTGCCCTGTGCCCTCTGATCCTGCCTCACACCTGCTCTGTGCCCTCTCATCCCATCTGCTTCACACATGGACCTGCTCTGTCCCCTCTGATCCCATCTGCTCCCTGCCTGACCCCAGCGAGGGATGCAATCACACAGGTCCTTCCTTCTGCCCATTCCCGGCTGGGATCCGTGCCCAAAGCCTCCACCGGACCTCGGGGTGTCCCCAAGGGACCCTGGCCCCAGGGGCTCCTTACCCAGACACACAGAAGGTGAAATATGAGTTTCATCCCTCCAGACATTTTAATGACTTCACTTGGGAAGCAAAGAAAAGAAGAGAGACAGAAAGATCAAGGACCAGTTGCTTAGTAACGAAAGGAGAGAGGCGCAGGGGATGGGAGAAAGGATTTTTTATCTTTTTATCTTTTTTTTTTTTTTTTTTTTTTCTAATGAGACTGTTTCTCCACTTTCAGGAGACATGAATCCCCCACTCCTGCACCTTTGGAACCACATCCCACACAGATGCTCCCCTCTGCAAGGTCTGGGTTTCATCCCTGTCCTCAGGGCTGTGAGGAGATCCATCTAAACCAGACTCTACATTCCTAAGACATCACCAGCAAGGAACAGAGGTGGTAGAAGGTGGCGGATGGAAGGTTACTTTCTCTGAGTGACAACAAGGATATGACCTCCACCACCACCACCTAAATTTTGTTGTTGTATGACACCACCAGCAAAACGGAGAGCCAGGCAGCTCCAGGCGTGATTTACCAAGCTAATATTGACACATCCTGCCTGACCCTTTCTGTTCCAAACCTGTTCCCTCTCCTGCCTGAGCTCTCCTCCCAGCCAGAGGAATCCAGCTGGGAATGGAGCTGGGGATTTAAGCTGCCCATGGCTGGTGCTGACCTTTCCTTCCCAGCACGGCAAGAGTGGAGATGAGCTGAGGGCTCTGCTTCACACCCCTGAAAATGTCAAGCCCTGGCAGCAGGACTGGGAGCCCTGGCAGCAGGAGGGATAGCAAAACCAGGCTGCATTTAATTAAGAGCAGGCAGCATACTGTTAACCATTTACTGCCCTCCAGAAGGGAGTCAGTTCCACCCCTGCCCACACACCGAGGGCAGGAGGATGCTCTGAGCACCTTCCCAATCCAGGGAATGTTGCCAGTACCCCTAAAACCTGCTTGTTCTTGGTCACTGATGCTGTTCACCCCTCTCACTGCTGTAGCCTGAGGGCAGAGGTCTCATCCCTCCCTGTGGAGCCCTGACCCTCCTTTCCCCTTTGTCACCTCATCTCCCCTCCCACCCCTCACCCAGTGATCTCTAACCCACAGCAGAGGGGAAATGAAAGTCCCCAACATCCCACTCCGAGTTTCCATGGGAACACAAGTGCTGCTGGTCCTCCCAGCCCTGCAGATGCTGATTGCAGAGCAAAGCATCCCAGCAGTGCCAAGGATGAGAGAAAACTATCCCTATCCTTCCCACAGATCAGCTGAAAAATCTGCCCAAATTCCACCTGCTGCAGGCAGGGGACAAAACCCTGTTCAGCAGATGTATCATCACACAGGCTCACATCTCATCCCGATGCTGTGTAAGGCTGTGGTTCCAGCTGGGAATCTGCTTTGGCACTGAATTCCTTTTCCCTGCCGGGCACAGAAGTGCCACAGCCATGGGGAGAGTTTGAATCCTAAATTGTAGGGAGATAAGAAGGACCAGATGAGCAGCAAGGTGAAGCACAGGCACTAAGGGGAAGGGGAGCAAGGAAAAAGCAGGCTCCCATGGGGAGGGACTGCTATAGGATATCAGGATGGGACTCTGCTCCCTGCTTGGCTCATTTCCCCCGTGCTTGTGATGTGCTGCAGGGCTATATCTATCATCTATATATATTATTATATCTATTATCTATATCTATATCTATATCTATATATCTATATCTATTATCTATATCCATTATCTATATCAATATTTTAGGGCTAGTGTGAGTCAGGCCCTTTCCCTAAGGCTCTTATCCACCTGATATTTTCCTGCTTCTCCTTGCTGGCTTCCACCTGCAGGCAAAGCCCTCCTGGGGCATCACCTACCTGGACATCCACCTGCCAGGGCTCGGGGCTGACCTGCTGCAGGTCCTGCAGGTGAGTTTTTCGGAGGGGGTTTTTCACCAGGGCTGTGCCAGGGTCGCTGGCTGTGGGGTGCTTTCTGCTCGTCTCGTGGTCAGAGCCTTCACATCCATCCCTGTGATGGGAGAGAGGATCAGCTCCACTCTGGATGGGATCAGCCAGCACCATCCCCGTGGCTCATGGTGGGAGGCAGGGAGCCCTCCCCAGGGTCCTGCCAAAGCTCAGGGGGCCACACTCAGCCCTGCAAAGTTTTAAGCAAAGCAACGAAACCACAAAAGGAAATAGAAACACTCATAATTCCTGGGGATGTCAAGAGAGCAGGTTGGGAAGGTTTTGTCTGAGGAGTTTTCAGCCAAAAAAAGCCTGACTGCATTTCCCCAAACCTCCCTAGAGAAGACAAAGGGTTTACTAATGAAATTTAATTAGTGCAGACACGCTCCTGTCAGAGCAAGACTAAAATTTGCCTTGGAAAGACACGATTTCTCATTGCTTTTGACAAGTTTGAGGGGATGCACAGCACAGCTTCTCTTGGAATAAAAGGGAAGAACATCCCATGAGTAACAGAGGTTTCCCCAGATCCGGGGTGCAGCCAGCTGCTTTGTGCTACACGCTGCTGACACAAACACGCAGCCAGGCCATGGTGGGGAGGAGTGACACCCTGGGGACGGGGCTTTGGATCCATTCCCCCCACTCCTGACTGGGAAGCTGCTTTGCAGGTACAGGGATGGTCTAGCAGAGCTACTCATTTGCTCACTCCACTCCTCCTCACACGGCTTGGGAAGCTTGTAAATAATTATGTGGCCAAAGCTAAAGCTGCTTTGAAAATCTCCAGGGAACCCAGCTCACCAGGGCTTCCCTTGATTTCCTGACAGGTTTGGATAAAACATCCAAACCAAACAGACTTGCTCAAGCCTCAGGAGATCTGTCATCTCTCCTGCAAACTCCTCCAGCTCTTTGCAGCTGAAGACATGTGAAAATCAGGCAAAATAACTGGGGGGCAGTGACAGGAGTTTGATTAGAGAGACAGGGGCGTGTACAGAGGAAACCTGACCCGTGTCCGTGTCCGACTCTCCCCCAGGATCTCTGCCCACGCCCAGGCGGTCGGGGGAGTGCTTGGTGGGGCAGGAGCCCTCCGAGTCTCTGGAGTGGTTCCAGCTCTCCAAGCCTGCTCCCTCTTCCTGGGAGTGGAAGAAAACAGAGCTGCCCGACTCCTGGGAATGCATCATGCTGTACCGCCGCCTCTTGTCCTGGGGGAAGCACACAGAGGGAACAGGTCCCACCACCGTGTGTGGCCACCAGCTCCCAGCTGGGACAGGCTGCACCAGCATCCCTAGGCACTGCTGTCCCCAAACCCCCACCCAACACCTCCCTAAGGACACAGCTGGGCAGCAGGAGACACCCCCCGACCATGCACAGAGCCAAGACTCTGGTGCACACCCCAACACTCCCCACTCCTGGCACAGCCCCACAACTCACAGATCTGGGGTTGGAGAGGTACGGGGAGGTGTCACAGATGACACCATAGCTGAGCAGACGGTCACCAGGGAACAGGCAGCTGCTGCTGACAGGGGACACCAGGGCCTCGGTGCTCTCGGGAAACACCCACTCCACAGACACATCACTCAGGACTGGTGCCATCGCCTTCTTCAGGGACCTGATCATCTGCAAAGGGCAGGGGAGGGAGGTTCAACACCAGCTGGACACGGTGTGAGCCACGGTGCACGTGCTGTGTGCTGCAGGGAAAGGGAACATTCCCTCAAACAAACCCATCAGTTGATTCCCACCCTCTCCTGACAGCCTGCTTCCTCTCAGTCTACTCTGACACCCATCCCAGCACCCCCATCTCCTCGGCACAGTTATACTTGACAGAGGTTGGTCTTTTCCAGCTGAAATGACTCCATGATTCCATGATTTTTTACCATGAGCAGATAGTGATGGAGCACAGGGCTGATCTCACATCTCTGCCAGCCCAGAGCAAGGTGGGAGTTTATGGCCTGAGGGATCTTTCTCTGATATGAGACTGCATCCCTTGCTCCCCTCCAGCACCCAGGAAACGCTGTCAGCCTTCACTGGTCTGAGCCCCAGCCCCTGTCCCGAGCCCAGCCCTCACACACTGATGTTTTTGGAACAGCTCATTGCTGGCACAAGTCCCTGCCAGAGATCAGCAATGCTGTGCCAGTTACACATGTGGAGAAGACCAATATCTGCGAATACCTCATGGACAAACCTCCCAGGGAGCCATCTACATGAGCTTCCCTGCACGCCAAGGGAACCGAACACCGGATTTAGAGACAGAACAGCTCAAATATTCCCTATTGTTCCCTGCTTTTTCACAGGCTTGGAAAGACACACCAGGCTGTGTTTCATAAGGCCATTAATTGACGCCTCAAACTGCTGAAGGCACCGAGCTGCACAGCCTGAAAAGCTCTTATTAATAGCTCCTATTAAACACCTCTCTCTTCACTGTCTTTGCTTTTAATTTACATCAGAAATGTTGATGCCATTCTGTCTTAGAGAGGTTTTTGTGTGCTCCAGGCTCCTGCAGAGGGTGGAGCTGCAGAACTCCTCCTTGAGAGATCAAGAAAGTAGGAGCTGGCTTTTTGGAGATATTTAGGAGCTAAAGACCCAATTCTCTGTGGGTTTAGTCAAGCAGCAGGTGACAGGCTGGGCTCAGTGCATTCACCAGGGGACAGAGCCATCCCTGGGCCGGATTTGAAGCACACGGTTTTACTCTTCATGGGGAGAGAGGGAATGGAGAGGCTTTAAAGTCAGCTTAATAAGCAAAGCCATCACAGCACATTCCTCTCGCTCCAACCCCGAGTCCTTCTCGCCTGAGCAACGCCAGGGCTGAGCCCGACTTCAAAACTAATTGGCTGCTTTGATGCCGGTGCCTCTGCCCCGGCCGTATCTGCGGCAGAGCTGCCTTTGAAGGCAGAGCTGCTGCATCGCAGCCCCCAGCCCCAGGCAGAGGGAAAAACACCCTCCCACCCCCCTGGAGATGTTCTTTCACCCCCTCCTGCTCGCCCACCTGCTGCCAGGAGGGGTTGGGAAGGCAGGGCCGGGATGGGGAGTGAACCTGCTGGGAGTCTCGATGAAGCCGAGCATCGTTCCAGCCCCACGGGGACTGGGGGCTCTACCTTGGGCTGCAGCCTCTCATCCTCCTCCAGGAACTCGGAGCTGCCCCTGGACACGGCAGCCAGACCCTGGACCAGCCTCCTGCAGGCGTTGGGCCCAATGCCGAAGCTGTAGCACCTGCAAAGGGACAGGGAAAATCGGGATCCAAAGGAAAATCCAGCCCCGTGTAGCCCATACTGTCCCTCAGATAGAAATTCCCTCTGACTTTTTCCCACTGCTATATCCAGCAGAATAACCAGCCCCTCTTTTAGGTGGGTGGCAGGAGGGTTGGGAACCTCCCAGTGCCTAAAGGGGCTCCAAGGGAGATGGAGAAGAACTTTGGGCATGGTCATGGAGTGACAGGACAATGAGGAATGGCTTCCCACTGACAGAGGGCAGGGTTAGACTGGATATTGGGAAGAAATTCTTCCCTGTGAGGGTGGGCAGAACCTGGCACAGGATGCCCAGAGAAGCTGTGGCTGCCCCTGGATCTCTGGAATTGTCCAAGGCCAGATTGGACAGGGTTTGAAGTACCCTAATCCATGGAAGGAGTCCCTGCCCATGGTAGGGGGGTGGAATGAGATGGGCTTTATGGTCCCTTCCAATCCAAACCATTCTGGGGTTCTGTGAACTGCCAGCACCTCCCTCTCAGCAGACCCCAAACCCCTTCCCCAAAGACCAGCCTTCAGCAGTGACACTCAGGGGTTCCCAGCAGGACCTCAAGCCTTCCCTTCCTCTGCAAACACAAACAAGCTGCTTTGCTCTCAGTTCAGCTCTTTTCCCTGCTGGCTGTGGTCAATAGCACTAAATATCCATTAATTATCTCTGCTTGCAATGAAAATAAACATTTTCTCAAGGAAGGAGGATCAAGCCAGGTGAGGCTGCTCCCCCCAACTCTCAGGTCTATGAATTAGGATTTGGTTTGGACTGAAGGCTGGAAGTCAAGCTAAGTGGGGATGGATGTACCAGGAAGCCAAGAGGATGGGAATGGGTGGGATGTGGCATTTGAGCAGGGCAGTGGGCTGCTGAGACAGAAAGCACCTTCAGCAGCAAACTGCATCTGCACAAGGGGCTTTTCTCTTGCAGGGTTTTAATCCTCAGATGGCTGCAAATCCTAGGCCAGTCTCACACCCCTCCTAAATAAGGCTCTGACCTTCTTTTAAGACTGGCCATGCCCAGGACTCTCCCTCCCAGGTTCACCCAAGACCATGCTCGAGCTCTGATTGCATTTAACCCTCCCCTGCAGCTCCACAGAGCAAGGGGTGGGATGCCCTCTACACTGGGAAACACTCAGACCTCTGTGCAGGTACAAACCCACAGAGCAGCTTCCCTCATAACCCTGAAGTCTGAGAGATGGAAGAGGAATCAAGATTTCTTATATTTTTCTCATGTTTTGTGCCCCTTAAAGAGGCAGAGGAGAAATCAGAACAGCCTGTGATCAGGGCTGGGGAGCCAGGCTGGGAACTCGTGCACAAATTAGCTGCTTTTTACATTGCTCCCTTTCAGCATATTCAATTCTGCACAGCCCCATCCTGGAAGCAGCTGGGGCCAGCCCCAGATGTGCTTTAAAAAAAAATGGAAAAAAAAGCAAGGAAGATTGTTGGCGTGTCAATCTCTCCTAGCAGGAAGCATCAGCCGAGAGCTGTGAAGTTGTCAGCTCAATTATCCAGCTTTTGATTGTTTAAAAAGCATCTGAACTTCTGGGATCCGTTCCAAACCCTTTGAGGTTCTCCCATGGCTCAGAGCAGCAATCTCTCCTGCCTCTGTCTCTGAAGTGGGGATGTCTGTGAGCTGGAGCTGTGCTCAAGGGGAGGCACATGCCAGCCTGTGCCAGGTTCTGGCCCTGCAGGGCTCAGTGTGTACCTGGTGGAGCACGAGTGGTCCCGCAGCAGCTCCAGAACCTTCCCGGTGTTGCTGATGGCCCCGGCTGTCAGCACAAAGAGCAGCCGGGGGTGGCCCCTGTGGATGGGCTGGCGGGTCACCCACTTCAGGGGGGATAAGAGGTTGATGCTGCCCATATCAGCCTGGATCCTCCTGATGCTCTGGCAGGCCATGGCCAGGCTCTCCTGCCCAAAGGAACGGTGGAATTGTCAGCACCAGCACCCTCCGAGCACCAAGGAGAACCACAGGAGATGCTGAGGGAGTTGAGGTTGCTCATCCTGGTGAAGGAAAGGCTTAGGGGAGACCTTAAAGCCCCTTCCAGTGCCTAAAAGGGCTCCAAGAGAGCTGGAGAAGGAGCTGTCCTCATCCCTGGAGTGACAGGACAAGGGGGAATAACTTTAAGCTGGAATAGGGCAGGGTTAGATTTGGTACTATAAGGAAATTATTTACTATAAGGGTGGTTGCCCAGAGCAGCTGTGGCTGCCCCTGGATCCCTGCAAGTGTCCATGGCCAGGCTGGATAAGGCTTGGAGCACCCAGGGAGAGTGGAAGGTGTCCCTGTCCCTGTGAGATCCCTCCCCACACAAACCAGTCTGTGTTTCTGTGGACTGTGGGTTCACACACCTCACAATAGGCTTGGCTGACAGGAAAGAGGGTCTTGAAGGTGGATCCAAAGCCAATGATGTTGAAGAGACACTCTGGCATCAGGCTCTTGAGAATGACCAACAGGGCATCCTGAGGGGTGGAAAGCAAACAGACACCAGCACACCTGGGCTCTCCCTGGCTGCCCCAGCTCCCCAGGAAAAGCTCTGCCCAGAACCATCCCATCTTATCCCCACCTTCATCTCTCAACAAACCAACTGCTTCTTTCCCATGCCTCCATATGACCCTGCTCTTTTCAAAGTCCCTTGATGATATTTGGGACCAGAAGCAGTGAGGAAAATGGGGAGTCTTTGGGGAAAAAAAGACAACAAAGAACTGAACAATTTTTTCTGTTTGTTTTTAAGGGATTCAATTTGTGCTGGCAACACAGTGCTGCAGCACAGAGCTGGTGGGTGAGAAGCAGAGTGTGAAATTGAGAAGTGCGACACGCAATGCATCTGAATGCCTAAACTCGAAGAAAATAAACAAACAGCTTTAAGTTACACAAAAGGAAAAGCCTCCCTCATCTCCAATTCTCTTGTATTCATAGCTGGTTTCAATTAAAATAACTGGGAGACAACAGTTTTAAGCTATTTTCTTTACCAGAGGTGGTTATCTAATGTGCCTATTCCTAGGCTTTACATAAGGCAAGAGCAACTCGAATTGTCACAGTGATATTGTGGACAAGTCCAGGACAGAGCTTGTGATCAGCAACTGAGAAAGAGCTGCCTAAGGAGCTCTTGAGCTTGTAGGAGCAATTATGTGGCAGGAGAGGAGGCCCATTTAAAGCAAGTGTTTATTTAAAGCAAAATGTAAAGCAAAGTGTTCAGGAGCAGCTCAGTTCTATTTAAATGCTGATCAAGGCAGACTCCTGCCAGTCTGCCGAGGGCAGCAGAAACCTTCGAGCCAGCCCCTGGAGGAGCTGCCAAGGTCAAACAGGCACCAACAGCCTCCCTGAGTTGTCCTACCAGAGGCAAAGACCAAGTGAGGGACACAGTGAATCCCCTGCCCGGGTCCAGCAGGGATGTGGTGCCAGGTCAGCCCAGCTCCCAAAGCCTGTAAGACTCAGCACCAACACAGAGCTGGAGCACTGAAAATCAGTGGAATGATGTACAAGAACAGGGCTGCCCTTTAACAGGCTCTGGAGTACTCAAATCCAAGCTGTTATCTCAAACCTACGAGGATATATTTATACCACTGCTCCCAGATGGCTCCTGGGATGCTGGCTCTTCCAGATCTCAGTGCTGACATCCCATCTTGGAACTCATTACAAATACACAAATACAAATTTCCAAATATTTCTCTTAAAGCACTTCCCAAAATGGGCAACTGATGCCTGCTTGCTATTTCAGCAAGCAGAAAGATTTATTGCTTCTTATGGTAAATATTGATCTTGATCCTGTTGCACTCCATAGCTATATGGCAACTCAATAAGGAGGGATGTTTGCTTCTAGAAAAGTCAATTCCCAATTATTAGTGCAGTTTTGCCAGCAAGCACCATCACAGCCTGGCTCTTCTCCCTGGCTGCATCAGGGTGGGAAAGGAACTGGCTGCAGGAAATTTAAATTTAAATCCCTGAATTTTCCACTCCAGCTGCTTTGGAAGGATGCCCTCCTGCTCCACACGGGCCCTTCCACCCCATCCCTGAGTGCATCCTGAGGCTGCACAGCTCCAAGACTGTCATGCCATGCATCCAGGCAGCTGAGGATGATGCAGAAGGTTCTACCAATCAAAACCCACCCAAACCCTCTCAGAACAGCCCCTGCAAGGTCCCTGGTGTCTGCAAGTGACAAACAAGGATGGGACACTCGAAGGAGGGACAGTGAGTTTCTCCATTGAGGTATCTCCTCCAAAATTTCCCTCAAAATAGTTTTTCCTGAAGGGGAACAGCTTTTTTCCTGTTATTACAGCCCTCCTGCCATGGGGTTTCCATTTCAGGACCTCTAAGAGAAGGGCTCTGATCCTGCAGGTCCCTATCCCCAGGGGACAATCCTGCCTCCACAGAGGCTGCAGACACTGTGGTGCCCAAACCCAGCCATGCTGGGAGTCAAAAAGCAAAACTCCACTGTGAGACAAGATTCCCAGACTCCTAAAGATGCTGGGGGAAGGGGGTACAACTCCAGAGATACCCTGCTCCCCTTGGGAACAGCCTCCCTATCCCAGGGGATGTGCTGCAGCCATCTGCAGGCTCCCCAGCATCCCCATCCTTGTTGCTGAAGGTGTCTGTCCTTCTTCAGCAGTTCCCATGGAAACTGGAGGCAGATGGGAAAAGAGATGTGCTAAAAGATGGACAAGCTCAGGAATGGGTTCGTGGGAACCTCATGAGGTTCAACAGACCAAGGGCAGGGTCCTGCACCAGGGCTGGCTCTGGGTAAGAGCTACATGTGACAGGGGAACCTCAGACCCACAAAATACCCTGACAATGTTACTTTTTATCTAGAGGTCTTGACACACCTCCCATAACCATCCACACCAGGCTGCTGGTGTTCATTTGTGTTTGGAAAAGGGATGTCTCATGTTTAAATCATTTCTGTGGGTTCACAGAGGTGCCCATCAGCAAAACCTCTCTTAATGCATGGTCAGCACCTCGCTCCCCTTGGAGCTCCCTGGAGGTTTCCTCCTAGGCAGCCATCAGCCAAAGTCCTCCTGGAGACAGGGAGAACTGGAAAAGGGATGCACAAGACATACCAGCAAGAGAGGGAAGGAAAATCATTTTGCATTTTATGTGCTGATAAGAAGAAAGGGAAGAGACTGGGGGAAATCACCTTCATTGCAGGCACCAAACAAGTGCCATGGTTACCCCATAATTACCCCCCATCCCCTGATAATGAACACTTATGCTCTCAGCACCCCCACCACTCTCTCTCATTCATCCCTGTTGACAGGCAGGTGCTTCTCCTCCTGCAGGTACCTTGGCACGGCTGATGTTCACACCACTCATGCTCCTGCTGCGGTCTACCAGGAAGATAAACTCTCCCTGGGCTTTCCTGAGGCCTGGCTGCACAGTCCTCAAGTCAGGGCAGAAGTTGAGCATGATGACAGGGTGGTGGGGGATGTCCTTGTTCAGTCGCTTCCTGATGATTTCCATCTAAAAGAAAGCAGGAGAGAGCTCGAGAGGTTGGTCTTTTCACCCCATTTCAATTTGAGGGGAATCAGAGCAGGGCTAAAAATGTGAGTGCATGGCCTTTTGTGGACCAGAATCTGCTTGTTCTGGCCCCAGAGGTGACAACAGCAGAGTGGGCCAAGGTCCAGGTCCTGTTCTGTCCATACCCACAGCATTCACCATCCCTGCAAGTGTCCAAGGCCAGGCTGGACAGGGCTTGGAGCAAGCTGGGATAGTGAAAGGTGTCCCTGCTCACAGGAGGGGTGGGACAAGGTAAGCTTTGAGGTCCTTTCCACCAAACTATTCTGGGTTTATATGGAGCAACTGCTCAGATAAACTCAGATAAAAGCCTGGAGAAGAAATCAAAAGACCTGGCCCTATCCAGCACCTTGCAAAACTGCTTCTCCAAACATTTCATTAGATCCTTCCCAAAATCCTGGTCCATTAGCACAGCTCAGCATCCCACCAAGGCACAGCAGAGGTTTTCTCCGTGGTCACTCATTAATGAAGTGTGAGATGCAGCCCTTGATCTGCTGCATTCAGCACTCCAATTCATTCCTGCCACCTCTGGTTTGCTGCTTTTTCTGCCCATGTCTTTTATCACTTTTCTTTGTAGGGATTGAAAGGCTTTGGAAAGCTGAACCGTCTGCTCTGGCCGTGGTTCGATAGGAACCTGCACGATCCCTGCACTGCACACAGCTCCAATGGCTCTCTGCATTTTCTCTCCTTCTATTTCAAGTATTCATTACAAATGGGATAAAATTAAACTGGTAAAAACCTCTTGTGCTGGGTTTATAATGTGCTGTTATGTGTGTATCAAGCAGTATCACAGCCTCAGCTGCTTTGGAGGGAGCTCCAGGACTCCACATCAGCCCAGCCGTGGCCTTTCATCCCTGGGACTGAGTGTGGAAACAACTCCTCAACAGCAGCTCGATCCTCAGGGGCCCTGTTTGCCTCTTTTCTCCTCTTTCTGGCTGCTTTTCTCCTTGGTTTCACAGGGAGTAAACCAGACCCCAGATAACTGGGCTTGTTTTCTCCAGCCATGACTCACATTCCTCAGTCTAAGAACTGACGAGCAACCTTTGTTTTGTAAAACTCACCAACTCCCAGTGGCTCCACACACACACAGGCTCTGCTTTCAGCTCCTCTGCCTGAGTGCTGCTTCTCTGACCCAGTGAAAAGACAGGTCCCACTCACAGGAACGAGCCAAGCTCCCACTCATCCTCCTGCCTTTCCCTTCTATGCTATGGGGTATAAATTAATCAGCTGCTGAGAAATCAAAAGGCTTTTTCCATTTCCATTTCCCTCCAGCCATATGACATTATTTTCTTTAACAACTTTTCTAGTTTATCACATTCCAGACTAGAGTGTTCCTTGCTGTCTCTGTCCAAATACTGAATCATGGCCCTGGACCTATCCACAGAACTGCCTGGAATGCTCTTGGGTATCCATGACATAAATTTCCTGTGTGATCAGGATGAGCCCATATTTTGGGATTTCTCACTGGCTGGAGAGAATTTTACAGGCAAATCTTCAGTAAACAGCTTCAGAGGAGCTACTACAGGTCAGCCAGAAAAGAAAACATCTCCTCACCTCCCTTCCATTTCCCCTCACCCATTATCCAATTACAGTAAACTAATCAGATTTTGTCGAGGAAAGTTGATTCCAGTGTGCATCCATCCCCACCAACCTACAGCTGACAGCATCCAAGCCTTTTGCATAACAAACAGAGGGAGGAGAATTAATTATCATTTACTGCTGAAATTTCTGGGCTAATTTAATTTAAGCCAAGAAGTGGCCAGTGCCCTGCTCTGAGCAGCAGCAATTCCAGCCCATCATCTACCCCAGGTATTCCAGGCATTTCCTCTGCTCCCTGCAGTCGTTTCCCAGTCCTCCCGGGGCACAGGTGGCTTTCCTGTAGGGAAAAGTCTCCAGAATGATCCCCCCTGAGATAATTTGACATGCTAAAGACGCAGAAATAATTAGGGAGCCATCCGAGGCGTAGCGTGGGAGTTTCATCTGTTCCACCTGCCACACACTGAACACAATTAGAGGAGATGCCTGCAGAGTCCCAGCCCTGAGAGAGAGAGTGGAGGGCAAAGGGAAGGGAGGAGAGGAGGGTTGACAAGTCTCTGGTAAAAGGAGAAATCTCAGCAGCACGGGGAGGCACCCCTGCAGCAGGTCTGGCATGTCTGCCAAGAAGGACCCGGGGTCAGACACGTGGAGAAGGAGTTTTGGGGGAAATTAGCATCCCTGGGCACACAGGAGAGCCCTGGCTGTGTAAAACAGGAGCTGTCAGCCCCAGCTGTGGCCACACAAGCACAACCTGTCCCTTAGGGGAAGATGCCCACCCTGGAAATCAGGAAGGCTCTGAGCTGTCTGCCCCTTTCCACTGATCCCAGACATGCCAAAGTGTTGGGCTGTCACTCATTCCTTCAGAACTGCTGGAAGACGAGGCACAAATCCCAGCACAGATATTTTTCTCTTTGCTGCTCAGCAGAACAAAGAGAAGTCTCTCCTACCTTGTCTTCAGTTCAGCTCATTATTCCCAGGAAAATCACTTCTTTCTTTCTGACAGCTACCCAGAAACAGTAAACATTTACTGAGCAATTAAAAGAATATTTTATTCTATGTCATTGCAATAATTATAATACCCTTAATGGTATCACAATGCACCTCTCTAATTATGCTATGCTAGACTAGCACTAATTATACACACAATAACCATCTCAGAGCTCCTTCCCCTCTCAGTTTATCAGCAGCACTGCTGAATTTCCCCCTCTTCCTCCACACAAGCCCCTCTCTGAGGGAGGATGCTGCAGGTCTCATTGGGACAGTGTAATATCTGATGCTGGAAACACAGAATCATCTAGCTCAGCTTCAGTCCATGGAAAGCCTCAGCTGACACCTGCAGCTTGTGTTTCTCACCTTTTTCTTGGCACTGGGGTCTTTCTTAGTGCCTTTAATGAAATCGTTCTTCCCCTTCAGGTGTCGTTCGTACTCTGCAGGGGTCATGTCACCCTTTTCCATTAAGACGTGGGGCATGTGGGGCTCTGGAAATGCAGAGAATTGTGTGAAGAACAGCCCTGGTTACACTTTGGGTCTGGCAGAGATGCAGGCACTCTTGGTTGGGAAAACAACTGTAGCTGTGAGCTGGGGAGCTCAGAAAACCCTGAGAGGGGCCAGGATTACCTCCTGGAAGCCTAACCTTGACAATATTTGCAACACCAGCACTAACCCAGCTGTCTCCAGAGCTACAGACGAGGATCCCAGGAAGAGGCAAGAGCAGCAGAGGGGAAGCAGAGGCCACCTACCACTTGGATGAATCAGGATCTCCACGGGTCTGTCGAAGGTGTGTTTGTTGGCCAGAGTGATCACGATGCTCTTGGCAGAGGGAGCCGAGGGGTCGGCGTCTGCCCGGATCTCGTGTGTGGGGCTCTCAACTCCTGCCCGGGGAAACCCAGGAGCCAGCAGGGATTGAGGATGGGGGAGAGCAGGGAGAAGAGATGACAAGGTGGCAGAAGACAGGAACCCATCTTAGCATCAACCCTGTACTGGTAAATCCACCCCAGCACCGTGAAGGTGCCAGCACAGATTTACATTGTGGAGGAGGAGTGTGGACATTGCCTTGGGGAGGTGATAAACCAGCCTTGTGCAGCAGGACAGCCCCAGTGCTCTTACCTGCCAGCAAACACGGCCCCCGGATCTCCAGGTGGAAGCTGAACTCATACTCAAAGGGGTTGGTGGCCTCACTGTCCAGCAGCTGAGCCAGGCAGAACCTGCTCCCCTGCTCCGGGCTCCCCGATCCACAGAGGTGTTTGTCCCTGCAGTGAGATAAATCCAAATAAACCCTGTGAACATGTTCTATCCCCCCAGGAACTGCAGGTCGGCCAGAGCCAAAGCCTACAGCCACTCTCCAGCCTCCTGCAGCTCCTGCTCAGCCAGCCCTGCATTCCCCAGGATCCATCCCACACACAGCCCACCCTGTGGTTTTACATACGATCGGAGCTGGTGGCTGGAAAAGCTGCTGGCATTCTCCAGGCTGGGCTGGGGGACCCTGGGGACACACACAGCTGGCAGAAGGACCCTCACCACCCCACTGGGCAGTGTCTGCAGCTCAGAGGAGGTGCTGATGAAGATGGAGACACTTTCCAGGGGAGGAATCATGCCCAGGCTAGCCACAAAAACGATCCTCTCCAGGTCCTCATCCATCATAATCCTTCCTGCACAGAGATTGGACCACATCAGGTATTGCAACCATGGAAAATGCTCCTTTCCAGGCCTCCCACAACCCCCAGGCCTGGATCAAACACCCAAAGCTCCCACTGCACACGTCAGTTTTCTCTAAAGAGCCCCAACTTCTGCATCACTCCTTTGGCTGCTCAGCAGCAGCAGTGCTTTTCAAGATGGATAAGAGTGACACTTTTGGCATGAGCACCACAACCCCTCAGCCTCCCAAAAGGAGCCCCCTTGGTGCCACAGCATACACCAGCCAGCACCCCCTGTCACCTCCCCACTCCCCTTCCCCTCCTCTTCTCCCCACATTCCCTAAAACACCCTCAACCCCCTCACCACTTCCATCACCAGCTCTTCCAGGGGGGAGGCTGCAGCTGTTGAAGTAGGTGCCATCAATCTTGGCTTTGTCTTTGATCTGCACTGTCACGGTGCGCTGGGACACGGCCGCCTCAAAGCCCACCACAGTCGTGCCCTCGTCCAAGGGGTACACAAAGAGACCTGCCAGCCAGGAGGAGTGTTAGCAACACCCACCTCTTCCCTGCACCTACCGGCCAGGTCCCTCTTGGCACTTCCCAAGTGGGAAAAAAATCCCACTTGTGGGATTTTTCACACCCAAAAAGTTGTAGACTTGGACACAATACACTTGGTTGTGCTTCCCACCAGCATCTAAAGCTTGAAGGCATGCACAGAAACCCAGCACCGGCATATCCTGACTTTGAAGTTCTCATTCCAAGCTTCACTCCTTAAAACTTGCCTTCCAAAGCCTGGGGGTCTGGGTTGTGGTAGGTGAGCAGGGCTGTCATCCCAAAGGCGTAGCCGCTGACACAGGATGTCACCTCGGACGCAATGAGGGGCAGCTGGGAGAGGGTGGCCCAGTTCATCAGCCCTGGCATCTTCCCGAGGGTCTCTGGGTGATGATGGAGAGCTGGAGAGAGAAAGGTGAGAATGGATGTGGAGCCCAAAATGTTTGCATGGCTCTGCTCTCATTCTGAAGCCCTGAGGACAGAAAGGTGAGTGACCTGGGAGAGGATGAGACCCGGATCAGACTGCAGTGGGGATGGGGAATGGAGCAAGAGCCCAGTGGGAAGACACAAGGAAAACCCTTGCCCCAAATCCCCATTGGTACAAGGGAGGAGGTTCAGATGAAACCTCCCTGGCTGGGCACAGACAGCCCCGGAGGTCCATGGCCCCCAGCACCCACACTGCTGGAGTCTGGGCAGAACAGTTTAACATCTTTTTCTGTCCCTCTTTCCCCTCATTATCCTCCAAACCAACAACTTTCTCCAGGATAAGACTATGATCATGAGCGTTTTCTTCTGGGGAAGGAAGAGTAGGCAGGCAGAGCCAGACATCCTCCTGCCCTCCCCCCCGTGCCCTTGCCCATCCTCATCCTCGCTGATTTCGGGGAGGTGCCACTGCTCTCTGCCCTGCATCTCCAGATCCTTCCTGCAAAGGGCTGACTCATCCCTCCCTGTGCTCAGCCGGCACATTCAGATGCAAAGTGACTCCTTCTGCCAATTACATCCCAACTCTTTTCCCTAAGCAGGTTTTTCTCTGTTACAGCTCCTCTCCTCCAAGCCTCAGGGTTTTAAAGGAGACTTTTCAGGTGGATTTTAGGGCCACATCCCGCTCCCCCGGGGAAGCGGGAGAAGTTGCTAGGCAGCAGTTCTCCCTGGCTGGCTCTGCAATGCTTTATGCAGTGATTTACGAGGCCCAGGAGAAGCCAGCAGCACTGAAATGTATCAGTTTATCATTCCCTACCAGTCCTGCGTTATTAAAACCCACCTTTATATGCAAATGCCACAGAGGACATCAAGGCCACGAGCTCGATGAGTGCTCGGGCAGGAAAACGGCGTTCAGAAAGGAAAAAGGGAGAGCAAGAAGGGAAATGTCCAGGATGGGGGAGAGCAGCCAGGGAAACCGAGCCCAGGAAACAGCAGTGAAGATGATGATGATGATGGAGGGCAGTAATCCCAAGGCACGCCCCTGAATCCCGGCCAAAAAACTCAACCATTCTCGATTTAATCCACCCTTCCTTCCACCACAAACGCTGCTCATGCCAGGAGCTGCCCAGGAGGTCGGGGATGCGTCCATGGGGATGAACAGGAATCCTGCCTGAGCCAGGGAAGGCCACCCCACACCGGGATGCTCCAAGCCATGCCAACAAGGCTTGGGAATTCAGGAGCTGGCAAGAGTACACCTGCCACAGGGAGAGATAATGAAGGTCCCCTCACTTCGAGATGTGGCAGAGGCCATCAAGGTATCAAGGAAGTGATTTAATGCCAGGTGGGGGAGGAAGGAGGGGGAATGATTTTACCTTAGGGAAGAAATAATAATGGGAAGAAGCTCTCATCCAGCTTGGCACAACAGGAATTCATTACAGGACTGCCAGAGGGGTGAATTTGGGCTCTAGGAGTGTGACTTCAGCTTGGAAGCAGGGACTTAGTGCAGAGCCATAGGTGAGATCCAAGCTCCTCACATCTCCTCACCCATGGAAAACTGGGGACATAGCTCCCATGGGAACCACTCTGCCAGCAGGGATTTCTGCATCACCTGGGCCAGGACAAGCACTAAGGGACCCTTGATGAGATGCAGAGCCCTGTGCCATGTCCTGTTTAATCCAGCCAGGAAAGTTGCACCTCTCCTGCAGCTCCGAGGTGGATCAGAGGAGCCTGGCACCAGCTCCTGTGCCAGCCAAAAAATCGGCCCCACAAGGAGAGGTAGGGCTCAGAGGGCTCTTCCCAGCAAAAACCCTTTGATAGGGGATGCTGCCAGCAGAGCCATGGGGCTGCTCCACACAGCTCGTGTCACCAACGCCATCAAGTGACTGCAGCATGGAAAGGGAGAGAGCAGAGAGGTTGGAGTGAGGAAGAGCAGTGGGAAGGCTGGAATCTCTGCCCTGTGCCCCCCAGGAGCTCAGCACCGACCCCTTGCCTGCTCCCCATCCTGCCTTTGCTGCTCTGGGATATGTGCTCAGTCTCCATTCAGGCCACAGGGCCTGACTCTCAGGATGGGACCCAGCAGGACCCTGCATCCCAAAAAATTAACAACAGCTTGACACTGCACAGGGTACCCCTAGACCCACCCAGTGCTCAGTGTCCCCTCACTGCCACCAAACGTGTCCTGCCTCCCACACACAGCAGGTGTGGGGTGATCCCACAGACCTGGCCAGGTGCCTCCCACCTCACCCTGCATCTGGAGAAAAGGGAAACCACTGGTTAATACCTTCAGCCCTCAAAATACACCTGTAATTGTCAACTAGAGAGCACCTCAGAGCTGGGGACACAGACATTGTCCCTTGGCCAGCCTGGCACACCAGGCTGCTACTGCACCGAGCTTTTTCCCCCCCTTCCTTTGTAAGCATCCTTTCCATGACAATCCCCTGCTCTTCCTGGCCGCGGAGGGGAGGGAGGCAGTGAACCGTGATCACCCCACTCCAGGCAATACCCGGGGCCAATTCCTGGTCCCGACTGCCGGGGAAGGCGCTGCTGCTGCCGGTGCCGGTGGCGAGCAGGGAGCGCGGGGCTGCGAGCTGGAGCACAGGCTCCAGCCCCTGCACAGTCTGTCCCAGCACTCCCCAGAGCCTGGGCATGGACTTTATGGGGTGGGAAAAGGTGTTTATGTGCCTGAAAAAAAGGGGGTGGTGCCTGGAGCACTGCTTGGAGCTTCTTGGGAGTCCCTCTGTGTCTCTAAGCACTGATGTGCCCTCAAAAATATTGTCTGAGCACGTGGAGTAAAGACAGGGGCAGAATAATGCTCCTCTGAGGTGTATTGAAAAGGAAAACAGAGCAAAACTGTGAGCACACAGCCTGGCTTCTGGCAGGACCCGACTCCCAGGAGTGGGTTGGGGTCCCAGCTGTTCCACACCACAGGACCTGTGGCATTCGCAGCCGACAACAGGACAGGGAGAGCCAAAGCAGGAGCTGGGATAAAACCCGACACAGCTCCACCCGGCTCTGCTGCCTGTAGGGCAGGAATCAGGGGCACCCCGGCTGCTTCTGCCCCCCAGGACAGGAAGGCATCCGTGTGAAGCCCAGCCCTGATGCCACACCTGATGTCAGACGCATTTTTGAGCGGCTGAGTCACTGCCCCGCCCTGCGGTCACCCCTGACCGGCCACAAACGGGTTCCCTTGGACATCTCGCCTCCAGGTCCGAGCTACACCTGGGGCACATCCCCAGTGCTCAGAGGATGCCTGGTTTTCTGCAGCTGGGTAAAATATTCCTTCCACGTCGTCTGTCTCAATCAACACTGACATCCAGTGGCTCGCCGGGATGACGACAGCCGGAGCGCCCTGTGGAGATGTACAAGTGGAGAGAGATGGCCAAGGACGCCTGTTGCACCACAGCCTCCCATCAGCATTCCTGGGCAATCACCCAGGGAAACAAACTCGCCCCTGTTTGCAAATCCAAGACAGGAGAAGCCTTGCACTTCCCAAACTCTCAGGGCTCTCAAGTAGAGTCACCCTCGGAAATTCTCCCTGGTTTTCAGGGGCAGCAAGGCTCAGGGAGCTGCTGAGGGACCCCTGACTTCACCTGCCTGACCCACATCACTGCAGGTCATGACTAAGACATGCAGGAGCCCTCGAGCTGCTTTATCCCAAAGCATGAGGCTCAAACCTGGCCAGGAAACCGAGATCAACCCCCAAAATACCTCTAGGAAGCAATAGGAGGAAATGGGGCTTGAAAAAGCACCCAGAGCACTGTCCTGTGTGGAAGAGCCATGGATCCACCATGGCAGACCTGTGAGATACTCTCAGGAAAAGCTACAGGAATTGTTCTCCCATCTCCAGCCTTCCCTTGCCTCAGACTGCAAGTGGAATATCCCACTTGATGGACAACCAGGAAAACAGCCACTGCAGACCCCCCAAAGGGTGACAACACGGCAGTGACAAGGATTCCTGGCCCCAAGGGCACCCTGAGGCCTTGGATATGGAAATTGGAGAAAGGTTGGGAAGCAGCTGCTCCTGCCAGAGCCCAGTGAAAACAACTTGGTCCCCCTTCCCGAGGTGATGCAGTGCCAGGCTGGGACATGATTGACAGCCCTGGCAGAGACAGATTTTGGGGAATGTCAGCTACAATCCTGGCAAGTGTCTTGGACCACCAGCCTGGCCCAAGAGTTGGGTCTCACAGACCTGGATTCATGTCCCAAGCCCCTTCCTAGAGCTGTTTATCACACATTTCTGACACAGGGGTTAGTTAACCCCCACCTTGCTGGGCTCACAGCTGTGGGGAAGATCTCTGGGCTGAGCCAGAGGGGGGTGTTGGCCCAGACACCCCTCAGCTGGGCTGCTTCCTGCTTGGGGTGCATCCAGATCCAAGGAGGATCCACACAGGGCCCCCAGGAGCAGCACTGCCCTTCTCCATCCACCCCTGTCCTGCCCTGCCCCAGCCAGTGTGGTGGATTCCAGCCAGGTCTCAGTGTTTTGACCCTTACAGCCCCCCTCACCCTGCCAAGGTCACTCCTCCTTCCCCAGACAATGTGTCCACAGACGGGTTATCCCACTTTGCTGCCCAGGACAGCAACAGCCCATCATCCCCAGCACCATTCCCCCATCCATCCATGTCCTCTGCCTGCACTGAGACAGACACAGTCACTACCAATGTCTGTACAATTTTTGGGGAGGGATGGGATGTTCCGGGACTCACCATCCAGCTGGGAAAAAGCAAGGCTGGGAAGCAGCAGCTTGCAAAGTGTGGGCTTGTGCCTGCACAAATATTATGACAGGGATTTCTTCAGTGAGCGGCTTTGTGCTGGGATCGTGCACAGCCTTGGGAAGTGACACACACACACACCCCTCACACCCACCCCTGCGGAGCTAAAAAGGTGCAGGAGCAACTGGAGAGTAGCCACTGCTTTTCTTACCTTTCCTGGGAGAGAGGAGGAGGAGAAGG